TTTGTTAAAAAGAAAAATAAACCAAATAAATTTGCAATATGTGTTATAAATAATGCAATTAATGGTTTTGATGTAAATATATTTTTCCATGGTATTGATGCTAATGTCATTGAACGTTTTTTACCAGTACTACCGGTTAAATTACATATATAGTCACGTTCATGATCACTAATGGTTTTATGATTATTTGGAGAATCCGATGTTAATGATATCCATAATATTAACCAAATAAAACCCAAAATACCTGTTAAACAAAATATATACATCCAACCTGAATATAAATGACGACAGAAAAGTCCACCAAGAAGCATTGTTAATGATGTTCCAAGATGAGTACCACAAAATCCAATGGATGCAAGAGTACTTCGTTCTTGTGGTACAGCCCAAAGTGACCAAAGTGCTATTGTAGCTGGAAAAAGAACACCATGAGCAAGACCAACAATAAAACGAAGAAGAAACATTGAAATAAAATGTGTACTTGACATCGTATACATCATTGTTGATGCAAAACTAGCAATTGAACTAGTAAATAGTGAACCAGCAAAAACCCATTTTGCACCTATAGTTGTTGCTAACCATCCACCTGGTACTTGTGTAAATATATAACCAGCCCAATAACCTCCTAAAAGAATTTGTTGTTGTAATTCCATCCAGTTGAATTGTTTTTCTTGAAGAAATCCTCTTTTTTGTAAAGCTGTTACAAGAGGTTTTATTGTTGTTGTTGTTGTGCTGTTGAATGATAATTGATATTCATGAGATTTTGTACGATTAACCATGCATACAATTGCAATTGGTAAATTTACACGTTGAGAATATTGAACAATAAAAGCAAAAAAGACAAGTAAAGCCAATGTAAAACGTTTTGATGGTATCAAAGGTGGTGGTGTTTCACCATCAAGAGTCCGTGCAAACTCATATTCCAGTTCATCTTCTTCTATATTCGTGATCGAATTTGATCTCATTAGATTGTATCTGTAAAAGAACAAAGAAGCGAGATTCATTCTGAAGTACTTTAAAAAAGGAAGTGGTCGAACAGGTCCTCCTAGTAGAAAACAATTGTCGTAATAAGACACTCATCGGCATCACTACTGCCAGGAATGTTTTGGTGAAAGAAAGGTTTAGCGTTGATCATATTATACTTTTAGAATCATATAGTTTACATGGTATCACGAAAGATGCTCTCGCGACATTTGCTTCCCAATGACATTTGCTCTTCTACAGTATGAAACAGACTTTCGACAAGTTACAAGAGCAATTTATAAACTAGAGTGTAGGTGTGGATGTGGGTATGAGTGTGCAAATGTCTCGGTAGCATCTTTCACGTTTTCATGAATATCTCATCGTGTATATTCCAAGAAACAAAAAAGACGAATGAATATGAAATCGAAAAAAAACAACAAGAGAACAAACGAATATGAATGCAAAAGCAATAAGGAGCGAAGCATACCATAAGCACATAATACACGCGTAAAGCTATATCATAAAAGATGAAACGAAGAAAGAATGTGTATATGATATAGAACGAAGAAGAGTACGAGATGAAATGTATAAAACATCCAAAATATATAAAAGATGGAGTGGAATGTATACGTGTGAGAAAGAGGGAAGATGAGAGGAATATGAGTACAAACAGATGCATGAAAGAGTAAAGAGAGTATACCATGTCCACCGGACATGGCACTATCGACCTACATGCAGAAAAAGATAATATTCTCGAATGGTTTTATATAAAGTATATTAATATAAGAGATTTGTCTGTGCGATATGAATATTACATACACAAGAGTGTTGTTATCTTTTCAGTCAGTGTAAATATAGTAGGTGTTTGCAAATCATAACATTATATAAAAAAAGTAGTTAAAACCAATCACCTGACCATCCAGAATCTTATACTACCATCCATTGATCAACAATCAACTGATAATCTCGAAATCGGATTTTATTTGATTAGAATTTTAACTGATTTTCTGATTTTTAATCGACTATGAGATTTTTATGCGGTTTACTATAAAATAATTAATTATAATCGATTGATAATCACGAAATTAGATTTGATCTGATTGACATTTCAATCGATTGAGTTGATTATAATCAGTTTTGGTAATTTCACCGAATTTAGTAACAAAAACTCGATTAAAATCAGTGAAAACAATTATCTTATGTGAAAAAGATAGTAAAATATTTATTTGATACTCAACTATTCAAAGAAATTATTATTTGGAATAGCAATCCACATATGAATCTCGCTCTTCATCAAATAAATATTGATTCAAAAATAATAAAATTCATTCGTATTATTAATTCGAAAGAAAATATTACGCATAAAATCAGATATCTTGCTTGTTCACAAGCAAACACAAATGCATGTTTCTTTATTGATGATAAATGGTATAGACCCTATTATATAAAAAGTCTTTTTGCAAGTTTTATCAAAGTAAAAATAAAATGATAAGTTGTATGATTGGATCATACTGTTCTTCTTTTTAGATTTATTACATTTAATTGATGATCTTTTTGTAATTTGGTTCAATGATATTCCGATTCAATTAAATATAGATAGTCAACATCATTCTTCTAATCTTCTATACAATGAAACAGATCTTGCCATACGTAAACTTCAATACTCTTTACATCGTGATCGATTCATTAGTAATAACACACTATTTTTTCGTAAACAAAATCATAATTTATCCGTCTACGTTAAATCTCCGAGTTTTAACGATAGATTTATATTCTTTAGTAATGTTTTACCAATATATGATGATCATAAAGTACATGAAAATTTATTTCATAGTACTTGGAAAGCAGTTGATGGTAATCTTTCAACATGTTGGTAAACAAATCGAACTATTTATTCTGGTGACTTTTTTGCGATTGACTTTTTATATGCTCAAACAAATATAACATTCGTACTTATTGTTTCACACAATCGTATAATGCAAGCAAATTTGGAGATGAGTATTTCATTTAATGGACTTTGGTGGATTCCATATGAATCACTTAGGGGTATTTTCATAAAAGCAAATGAAAATTCTAGAAATATCTATCTCTTCAATTCAGCTCAGTTTAATGAAGGTTTTAAATCGTTTCGTTATATTAAATTCAAAGCAATTAATAATCATTCTAATCAATTCTTTCAAGTGTGTGACATTCAAATGATTTCAAAAGAAAAGACTCTAACGGATCTTCAATAATTAGATGTGTAAATTGTATTTTCTAATAATAGATTTAAACATTTTTGATGATTAATTATTTCTATATACTTTAGAGATTTTTATTTTCTTATTAATATATATCTATTTAAATAAGGAAGTTTAAATATTTTCTATTCCATCTTATAGAACATTTGTATTTGATTTTACGATCAAATATTAACATGGATTTTGAAAAAAATGCCATTAAACCTTTGGTAATTACAACGAAAACACAATATTCATGTCTATTATATAGCATTACATATCAATAAAATAATCTTAACAAAAACGTGGTGTACAGTTGCTGTGTCGATTCTGACATTTTGCAGTTGACGTCATTTTTTTCGGTTTTTTTCCTTTCAATAAGTAATTGCAACATCATGTGAAACATATGATGCATGACGAATATGTATTCATTCAAGGAAGAAGAAGAAAAAA